TGAGACGTTTTTTTTTTGTCCGCTTTCTTATGAATCGAAAGATGACAAATTCCTAAGCCCTTCTACTGCCTATATCGGTGCCAGAGGGCACGATCAATCACAATTGATAGTTTGTTTCAATTTGAGATAATTTACCCTTTGTAATTGGGATATATATAGCTCTAGTTTATACGCATATAGTTGTGATAATTGTTTATCGTTCTGCTTATATGGATAAACAATTAATGAACAAGAATGATAATCATTGTTGAGAAATAGATTTAATAAATGTGATCATAAAGATTTAATACTGAATTAAGTCATTGTCGGAGATATAATGTTCTAAAAAAACAATCTTATATCTTCCTAATGAATTTTATAATTTGAATTTTAAAAAATGGGTTTAGTATATTAGTCAGGTTCTTAGATTATTATGCCATTTATTTTTTAGGTGGGAATGCATGGTGTTCCGATCCATCCAATTTAAGAGACGACCAGGCATTATCTAAAGCATCAGCGTTAACATTAAACACCCGAGACTTTTACTGGGTAAGCATGGCAATTTGAATGGTGTTCACACGTTAAAAACGATGGTCATTAATTACATTGCGTTTTTCTTAATCCCAATTGCTATTATATGCATGCCCATAAGGCGATAAATATCTGGGACATCCTTTTATATGGTTTCCTTTCTTGACACTTACACAATAATCAACTTAATTTTGTGTTGCTTGCAGTTTTCTATTCTTATCTTATTGCGAGCTTGAATTTGACCATTTTATGTACCCCATGTACATAAAAATTAATCTAGAAAAAATCATGCATAACCTATTCTCATCTATACGCTATAGTACGTAAGTCGCAAATGATATTCACTTCATGACGGGTATTACAACAAATTAATATAAAATTTGGTCTAATATGACAGCATACGTATAAGCATTAGCAACATCATTTTGAATATCTATACCAATTTCATTTCAAAGTCAATAAAGAGGAATGCGAGAATAGGAAACTTTTTTTTTTGTTTTTTTGAAGAAAAAAAAAGCACCTATTATCTGAAGCTAATACCATCAATCCACTATCTACAAGTAGCTTATTTTTATTTTATCATATTCAAATACTAGTCAAAGAACTTGGATTTAATTAACTCTATACGCATCTTACGTATATATATATGCATATGATTGATAATTGTGTATGCTGAGAATTGGATAATCTAGCTACTCATCTCAATCCCTAACATTAAGTGTGGCTTTAAAGTCAAACGCAAAATATTATATCCCAAGATTGAGTTGTTGGATGGCTAGTATCGATTGACACGTGACAATTTGAATTCTTGTGTGGTTGCTTGACTAAGTCACTACCAGTCACATTGTAAATAAATTTTCATAATTCTTATAACTCGCAAATCACATGCATGATTACGAAATTAATAACTGTGATTGAGGAATATGGCTTTCATTTCATGGTTGCGGGTGGGGACTGTGGCCTTTCTTTACATTCCATTTCCATAAGACAATTATTACACGAGGGTCACTTTATGGTATGGTTCGTTTTCTGAAAGGAGGGTCCGACCCAATAATTCATGCATCTCTCTCTGCAGCTTATCATTAAAGCCTGCATGACTTCAATTATTGCAATGATCCCAAAAGCATGACATATCTGACCTATTCATTTCCTCTGTGTGCCTATTTTTAATTACCACTTCTTTCTAAAGCCAACCCACGCGCGAGGGACCACCCACCCTTAAGTTATAACTTCTGATCTTCTACGGTTGCACTCATTCTACCTCTTCCAATTTCATAAAATTGAATTCAAGAAAGGACCAAATGAAGGGTTGATTATTCTACTTGATTGCACGCACCCCACCCCACCCTCATTTTATGGACTCGTTGTCATTGGATACCAATATCTTTTCTTTTTTATTATTAACTATCCATTTAATCCATTTTTCCATGTCAATTATGGAGCTGCTAATATTTCAAGAGATATAATAATAAAAGCACCTTATAAACCATAATTTATTTCTTACTTAAACCAAGGCAAAGCAAGATTGAAAGCATAAAACTTTTCCGGGAATAGTAAAACTCGGTCGGTTTGTCTGCCTAATGAATACATTATAATAATCGGAATAAGGTCAAATTGAAATCTCGTTCTAATCATCACATCCATCTTTTCAAAATATTTTTATTTGCACACATCACGCTTGTTTTTAAAAAGAAATAGGTTTTACAAAAAATAAAAAGTAACATTTTTTATTTAATCAAACATGTTTTAGCAGCCTACTAGCAGGTGTTAATTGGCTTAATGGACAAAGAAGAGCAGCTTTGGCAGACATTTAATAATCTTATATCATATTGTTATAATAATATTATATTTTTCCAAATATCATTATAATAATAAATAAATTGTCATATCATGTAAATTATTATTAATTTAGTGGGGTGCAAATTTGAGAGTCGCAATTCTTGAAAAAAGATCTCTAAATTCAAATTTAATATCAATTAATCAAACCCATTACAATTTTTGACAACTGTTGATATTTTAAAAAATTTAAAAACTAATAATAATATCCGTAAATAGCTAAATATAAATATGAAATAGTAGTTCATATAAAAAATTATTAAAATTTAAAAAATATAATAAAATAATAGACATATTGTATTTTCACTAAAAAAACACTCCATGCAATTAAGTATTTTTTTTATATAAAAGTTTCCTACAACATTATATATTTCTATTTTTCTACCAATAATAGCTTTATTTTAGAGCTTCAAAATCCCTAGCTGGTATGAACACTACTCTTCGAATTGGCGAGGTCGCGGTCATATAGGTAGAAGCGGCCAGAGTCATTTCATTTCAATTGCCCAGTATTTAATTTAATCTTTTGTTTTTTTATGAATTTAATATTTCTCATTTTATAAGAAATAAATTTATTATATATATATATATATATAAATATATAAAATTTATAAGATTTTGTGAAGAGAAAAAAATATAAAATCTATTATTTATATAAATAAACTTATCTCCTATAATTTAACAAATATTAAATTTTTTTATTTATCTCAGAAACTGCACAAACTTTTTAGAGCTTAATTAATTAATTGATTGGAAAGCCAAATCAAATAGCGAAAGAAAACACTGAAACAGTACTGTTGAACTGTTTATGCCTTAATAGATATAGTCCACATGATTCTGTATAGGGTACCCAAGACAAATCATCATTCTTATCATATTGTCATGCATGATGATGAGAATGAGAATGAGCATGATCGCGACCATAGATGAGTGGCCAACATATATACTGGCTAATCAATAAGACAACAGGAGCAGGTTTATAATCCCAGACATGTCTCTTGGGATGATATATCATTTTCTCCTTGTCATCATGACGCTATTTCCACACTGTTTTGTTTGGTCCAACCTCTTAAATTTATGTCAATTTCTGTGAGTAACCAAACCAAACGCATTTAATTAGGGTATACAAATGGAGGCTCTTTCTTTCGCCTAAACTGAGTTGAAAATTGACTACACAATTATATTTTTTTATATATACCACTTTTCTTGCATGTGTCACAATGTACGTAGCACAACGTTTCACTTAACAATTTCATATTACATTATCGAAAATATTTTTCTTATGTAGACATAGATAAGGTATCTCATGTTGGTGAAACAAAATAATAAGAGGGATCCATAAATGATTGGAGAGATAAAAAATAAAAGTGGGACCCACCTTTGTTTTGTGTGTGTAGGAAAATAGGTTATCTCATGTTAAATGAGATAAATATAACCCTTACATTATATATGTTATAGTAAACACTCTTTTTAGCCCCTGACAATATCTATGAAGTCTTTTTCAGTCCCTGACAATAAAAAAAGACCAAATTGGTCCCTGAAAGTACAAGAAAAGGGCCACTCTACATATTTGGGAGTTGACATAAGGACTAACATGACCCTTTTTTTGTAATTTCAGGGATCAATTTGGTCCTTTTTTATTGCCAGGGACTAAAAAGGACTTCGTAGATATTGACAGGACTAAAAAAGATGTTTACTCTATATATTATTATGATACGCCATATCAGCTTCACTAACCCATCACATAAAAAAAATAAAAAAAATGAGGCTAACTGGATTTGTAAAAGAGCATGTTCAGTATTAGAAATTAGGTATTTTTTTATATTAAAAATTGGGGAAAATATTAAGGTGACATTAATTACAAAGGAATTGGGATTTGGTAGAATAATAACTAATCATCAAATATGTGAATCAATTGGTAAATAGTTGTTATGGCATAATTAATAGTATTGAGTTTGAGTTTCTAAAAATATTATAGTATTAAAATTTGAATGGGAGAATTTATTATCTATCTGATTTAAATTGAAGTAATCGAATAATTGATAATTCTCAAACTATTTTTCGATTCCAAATAATACCAGAGAAAAACTAATAAAATTTCCAGCAGTTCTTTTCTTACCAGAGTGATTATTTTCCTTCATTCTTCGTTCTAACAAGAGTTTATAATTATATTATATCATTTCCAAAATCCAAAAAGGTAAAATTACTATTATAATATAACACTATAAAGAGCATTTGATTTTCTACAACAATATATAAATATACCTCGGGTTAAGGAATGTGAACGGTTGAATATTTAAATATATTCACGTGCCTTTGTCAACAAGTGTTTGTCGGTCAATCTTTACTTCCACAAAGGCAAAGACGAAGAAGAAGCACCAATAAAAAGGCAGTGTTTTGTTCATCTTTTTGCTGTTAAGAAGAAGGGTTTGTGCAGCAAATGAGAGAGCTTGCTTCTCTTTGTTCTCCCATTGAAAAAGAGCTAGCACTGTAGGGGCATATATATAAAATACACACGCACACACACACACTCTCTCTAGTTACCCTATTAGCATAGATATTGCTATAGTCTTCAAATCCTTTGTAATAACAACAAACCATTCTCTTTTTCTTGAGAGTGATAACATACTGTGGTTTGAACTTTGAACTTTGAACCTATGGAGCTGGCTTTGAGCTTAGGAGACACACCAAAACACTTCACTTTTATTGAACCTAGTTTCACTGCAGGGAAAACCATAGAGGAGAAAAGAAACGCTTGTGAGAGAAACGGTTCATTGGATCCACCGGTTCAACTCGACCTTCTTCCTTTCTCTCCGGTTCTAAGATCCCAACCATCTTCTCAGCTTCGAATTCCATGGCTCAATGAATCATGTAACTTCTCTTCTTTTCTCTCCTTATTCACTCAAAAAACGTGTGCAGTAAAATAAACCTTTTTTTTTTATGCTTACTTTAAAGTGATCTAGAGTTATTGGTTTGAATGAGAGATTGTTTATATATATCAGGTGGCCCGGCGAGGGTGCTGGACGTGAACCTTTTTCCGGTGGCCGCCGCGGCGGAGGACGCCGACGACGGCACGTCACTGTCATCGTCACCCAACAGCGCGGTGTCACCGTTTCAGATGGATTTCAGTGTCAGGAATAACGGTAACGCAGAAGATGGAGGAAGAAACAAGAGAGAGAACGAGGGTGAAGCTGAGAGAGCGAGTTCAAGAGCGAGTGATGACGACGAAAATGGCTCAACTCGGAAGAAACTCAGACTCTCTAAGGAACAATCAGCTTTTCTTGAAGAAAGCTTCAAAGAACACACCACTCTTAATCCTGTTAGTCCAAAATCACATGTTTTTTCTTTTTTCTTTTTTTCATTTCATCTTAAATGCTATTATTTATTTATTTATTTATTTATTTTTAATATTATAAGCAGAAGCAGAAACTTGCACTTGCGAAACAGTTGAATCTTCGTCCTCGTCAAGTTGAAGTTTGGTTTCAAAACAGAAGGGCAAGGTAAAGAAGAGTACACTTTATGGTCCTTATTATTTATTTTTTATTCAAGTATTTTCTCCATTTTATTTATATAGTATGTTTTAATTTTTAATTTTTATTATTTTGAAAAAGCATAAGGAAAATTTGTGACCAATGTTTATTAATTGTTTGTGTTTAATTTTGGAATACAATTATTATAGGACAAAGTTGAAGCAAACAGAAGTGGATTGTGAGTATTTGAAGAGATGTTGTGAGACTTTGACAGAAGAGAATAGGAGGTTACAGAAGGAACTACAAGAACTAAGAGCCTTGAAAACTTCACAGCCATTCTACATGCAGCTTCCAGCTACAACTCTCACCATGTGTCCCTCTTGTGAAAGGGTGGCTACAAATTCCTGCACCGGAGGTGCCGCCGCCGCCACCAACAAAACCTCCACAGCGAATGCCGCCACTAACAATGGTTCTCAAACCCCATTGGGTTTGTCTCTTAGCAAGCCCAGAATCTTACCCTTCCCTAATGCCCAGGCCCAAGCCCAAGCCCAAGCCCATCAGATGGCTTCATGATGGTGATCAGATTGAATTTTTTTTTTCTTTTAATATATAATATATAATATATATAACATTATCATAGAGGACAAAGCATTCACCACCCTGTATTGACCGTTTGTATATAAGTTCGGTAAGTTTATCTTATTTGATTCATCTGTTTTTACGTTGCTTTCTTTTGTGGTGAAAGAATGATCCTTTTTGTGATCAAATTTGAATGTACCAAACTTTTTTTTGGTGGTGAAATTGTGAAATGAAACATTTGGTCAATGTTTTTTTTTATCTTGGTTTCTTTGTCTTCCTTTTTTTTTAGTCATATGACAAAAAGGGCATAATACTATCACTGCTTTGAATGACCTTCCTCTTCCTTCGCGTACCCTACCTGCTCTTGCAATTATAACCTATGCAGTTATTAATTTCACGTTATTCTTGATCCCTGGACCTTGCTAAGTGTACTCGAGAGGTTGAAAATTATAGCATCTAACAACTTTTTTTCGCTATTATTATTAAATAAATTCCTTATGGCTACTTTTTAATTTTTTTATATATCAATAGCTCTGTTATGACATATACTACAAACTTTAAAGCACAGTAGCATTCAATCATAATTCTGTTGCTGAAGGCGACGATTGAGATGGTTCATTTCAATGTAGTAAATTAACTCCATCACTGACAATATCAAAAGCTGATGACTTCTGGCTGGGCACTGCCAACTTGTCGCTCTGCACGGTTCATAAAATTTTAAAATACGATAATATGTTGTGAGAGGGATCAAATTTTTAAAACATAATCATAAGTTTCTGATTCTCTTATTTTGATAGGTTTATAGGATAAATTGGATTTAAACAAGCGATTTGAGGACCTACTATATTTATAGTATGTTTATCGAATAATTATTGTTTCTCCAACTCACATGGAGAAACAATAATCATAATTATTCTCTTTTGAAACCTACATAAATGAGTGATCTCTCTGTGTGTTAATTTTCTTTACAAACTTATCTCCTTTAAATCGCAATATAAATGATTTTTTTGTAGTTAGTTGTCAGCGGACAAGGAATAATATGTGGACACTGTCTCCCAATCAGGGAGAGAGATCTTACCTTAGCCTATGCAACTGCAGAAGAAGACCAGAGGCTGATGGCTAAAAGTGAGAATATAAATAAGTATCAAAAAACCCTAGCCCTAGGTTACTTAGGCTCTTCTTATAACCTGAGCCTTATTGAGCTTTTAAGAGAAAGAGCATAAATCCAACAATCTTACACTTACTCTTGAGTATAAAACTTGAGCTAGGGTATCAACAAACTCTAACCCTAGGCTACTTGGGCTCTTCTAATAATTTGAGCCCTATTGGGCTTTTAAGAGAAAGAGTATAAACCCAATAATTTCCCACTTACTCTTGAGAACAAAACTTGAGCCCAAAGCCCAAGACCATGCAACTGACTAGTTATTATCAACTGATAATGCCCCATCTTTTATCTTGAACTAGTCTGAGGATCTACCAGCTGTTATTAATCAAAGCTCCTGATAATCAACGAATGATTATCTAATTCAGTGTTATTTCACTAAAAGTCCGAATTTGAACTACAAGATTAATAACACATATAACACGAATATGCATTGCCCCTTTGTGGTATGTCAATAATTCATTGATGAGCTTTCTGCTACTCAACTAATTATTTATTCCCTTGACTTTGATAGTTTTCTAATGAATTACATGCATTGGCTAGTGTCTTCAATATCCAAGTACAGAAACATATTGAGGGGACATACCCTACAAATTTCATATTGTTTATCTCATATATACTGATAACCAAATTATCTCATTCCTAAAAAAGTCGGGTTATTGGCCGTCAAAAGATCATGCCTTATCCGTTCATAAATCAAAGAATGAAAACAATTCAATTACCTATTTATAATAAACTCAGGATTAGGAGCAATCACATAACTATAATTAACTAGAGATTTGATACCTTATGACAGAAAAATAACCTTAATCAAATCTCTCATTGATCTTTTTAATGTGAATATTAATTCACACCAGTATTTTACAATGGTTCAAATAAAACCATTTCATAAAATATTGTAGACTAAATAAAGCCCCCAACTTTGTTTAGCAGTTGTGAACCTATTCATCAATTGTGAGAAATTGTGATGATGCCCTCCATGAACGTATCCAAATGATCATATACTCCACAATTGATCCGGACGTTAATGCTTGTAAATTGTGTGCACAAAATAATGAATATTATCTCAACCCCCGAGGTACCAGTACCTGAAAATGTTCCCCAACACGGGGTGGGATCTCTAAAATGAAATCTCAGTAAAACAAGGGGTTCTCAAGGATCTCTCCACCTCAAGCTCACTTACATGTGCAATATAAGTTCAAAAAAAATATAACATATAATTTCCAAAACTTGTGCAATGCAGCATATATCCATGTCATGTGTGTATGCATCCTACTAGCCAGAGAATAAAAAGATAGGGATTACATATGTCTACAACCTACAGTACAAGGAACACTGCTTGCATCTCACCCAAGGAGTTACCATCTTGTATGTCTCCACATACTCAGGGGTTACCGTCTAGGTGGTACACCACATACATATCATATGACACTTGCACTCAATAAAATAGCTCAATAGCATATCAAGAATCATCATTTATTTTCATAAAGACAACATGCATATAACCATCCTTCCATGAGGTATGGCGGAACCAACAATGGGCGAAACCGAGGACACAAAAGCTTACCTCGCAGCCTAACAATCCCAAGTCAAGAGTCCACAACAACCCAAGGTCACCAAATAGCACAATCACAATCTGTTTAGACCAGAAATCTCATCAACATTTGAAATCTAGAAGTTCATTATATTATGACAATGTTTCCTTTTTCGTTTCATGCCTTTAGGCTTCTCGCAAAGCCATAAGCCTTTAATCTAAGTGATTCTGACTTAGTTAACTTATTACAGAGGTTCATACTAACCACTCAAGGGTCTAGAAACCCAATCCAAGCTTTTATTCGAACAGAACAGGTCAACACACGAAATTCCCAGAATATCCGGATATTTCACGAGGGCATATCGGGATATCCATATCCGGATATCATATCGGGATATCCATATCCTGATATGTCAAACCCCATATCTGGATATTTCACGACAGAATGCAGTTTTTGCATTTCGCGAAGATATCCCTCCAAGATTCCTTTTTTAACACTTCTACACGTCCAAGAATTCATTTTTAGACATATTTAGATCAGTGTTCATGCTAGTTACTTAATCATTTCATTTAACATGTCAAAACTTGATCTTTAACAAAGAAACTCACGAACAAAGATGGTGAACATACCCCCAAAGGCTAGAAACAGAAACAAGATGTGGTCTTGGAGCTTCCAATGCAGCTCTAAGGTTCTGACTCCTCAAGATCACGAAAATGACTATCAAGCTTGGTCTTTTACTTCACAAGGTAGCTTCTTGGAGCATCAACAAATAAGGAAATGGCTCCTACATCACAACCCAAGAACTCAGCCCACAACCCTCGCCAACTCAGTAGCTAAATTCAGAAATGGAGTTGCATCACTCCCTCACAAGGCTAGCTCACACCTAACTATTGTGTTTTGGTGAAGAAAATGTAAGAAAGGTGATCACTTTGGCTCAAAAGAGGAAGGAAAGAAGGTGACAAGCTTGGAGAGAAAATGCAGCAGCCACACTCACGTAAAACCTGATGGAGATCAGCTTAGGGTTCTGTGCAATTAATATTTATAGTCTCATTAAATTAATCCGTCGATATTAGCGCTAATAGCTCCGCTAATTATTTTAATCTCAAACTTCAGATTCTGAACCTAGCCATTTTTCTAGGATTTTTCATATTTTTATTATAATTTTCGCAGCACTTTGTCGGTACACATTTTTACGTAGCCGGTATAAGTTCTGACGTCAGTTCTCATTATTTTGACTCCAAACTTGATATACCAGTCCTAAATATTATTCTAAGAATATTCATACACTTATTGTAATTTTTTGGGATACTTTATCGGTACGCACTTATACCGTGAAGTAGAACGGTATCCGCACTTTTCGTCAAAAAAATGACTTTCAGTGTTATTAAGCCCTTATAATAATTAATTAAGTCTTACCATATTTATTCAAGGTCAATTATGGAATTATTCTCTTAAACTCGCAATTAAATATTAAATTTCTTAATTTAACGGTGCGAGTTCTTATACCAAAAACTTATTCTTTCAGTCTCATAAGAGTTTTATACCAAGAATAATTGGCTTCTTGTTGCGATTTCGGCAAGTATACCGATTGTTTCAAGTAATAAAGTAGTGAGAAAGAGTATCGTCCCACGAGGATTGAAGCACAAGTACTATTCACACTTGTCACTTTAATTTGGACAATTTGATTTGGTTGTTGATAATAGTTGTTGAATTAAATTAAAACGAAAAGTAATTGTAAAGAAAAATAATCAAAAAAAATGCAAGAACGATTAAAGAACTAGTAGTCAGGGCACACTTCACCTTTTTTCCCCCTTATTCATCTGAATAAATTCTTATAATTAATTATCTCAACGGTTCAAACAATTCATCTTCTTTAAATTAATTGGTTAAACCCTAATGTCTTAGTGTATTTAACACTTTAACCCAATTAGAATCCTAATGTTTTTGTAATACTTCTTGAATTAAGCATTAAGTTCAATGAATTAAGAAATCTGCAATTCATACAAGCCTATGTCAAGATCATGCACAAATTATTATTTTACTCCAGTCAGAATTAAAATCCCAACGTGTCTATTATGAGCTCCAATCCTCAAAACCATATGAGATTGATCAGGTCTAATAAGGATGTAGAATTTTCATTTAAGGTAAAATAAAATTGATTGAAATAAAATAATTATAAAAATAATTCAAATATCAAAGTGGTTCACATAAGATCTATGACCCTAACTACAAAAGAAAACTAGTCAGACATATCTGGCTTAAATAAAATAAAGAAAATAGAAAATGTAATAAAGAAGAAGAAGAAGAAGAAGAAGTCAATGGTGCTCAATTTCTTCTAATTCCCCTCTCTGAAATCTCCAACTCTGGTATCTGGTGTTCTCCTCCTTCCAGAATGTGCCAACCTCCTTTGTATTTGCAAGAGTTGCCTT